TGTGATGCTCTGTTTTTGAAAGTATTTGCAAGAATCTTGAAGGACGCTAGTGATTTTTTTTCAATTTGAGAAAATCTTCGAAGCTCCTAGTGCTTTGTTTTTGAAAGGGTTTGAAAGAACCCTGGGTTCTCTAGTGTCTTTTAAAAAATAAATATATTAAAGAGTCTTCGAAGTCTCTGCAGTTTGTTTTTGAAAATAATGTCTAAGAATCTTGGTCTTTTTATCTAAAAGAGTTTTGAAAAATTTTATGGCGCCTTTATGTTTTCTTAAAGTACATATGTGCAAAAAACTTGGGACTCCTGCTGTTTTAGTTTTGAATTTTTTAATCTAGAGGTCCCATATGTTCTATTTTTGAAAGAGTTTAATGAAAGAATCTTGGCAACCCCTGGAATCTTTTTTTAATGTGGTAGAAATTTTTGAGATTTCTGGTGTTTTGTTTTTGAAACAGTGTCAACCAATCTCTTGTGTCTTTTTTTAAAGAGCTTGAAAGAATCTTATGGTCTAGTAATTAATTTTTCAAAAAAAATTAAAGAATCTCACAACTTGTGGTGTTCTGTTTTTGAAAGTATTTGCAAGAATCTTGAAGGACGCTAGTGATTTTTTTTTCAATTTGAAAAAATCCTCGGAGCTCCTAATGCTTTGTTTTTGAAAGGATTTGAAAGAGCCTTAGGGTTCCAATGTCTTTAAAAAAAATATATGAAAGAATCTTCAAAGTTTCTGAAGTTTAGTTTTCGAAAATAATGTCTAAGAATCTTGGTCTTTTTATCTAAAAGAGTTTTGAAAAATTTTAGGGCGCCTTTATGTTTTTTTAAAGTACATATGTGAAAAAAACTTGGCACTCTTGGTGTTTTAGTTTTGAATTTTTTAATCTAGAGGTCCCATATGTTCTATTTTTGAAAGAGTTTAATGAAAAAATGTTGGCAACCCCTGGAATCTTTTTTTAATGTGATAGAAATTTTTGAGGTTTCTGGTGTTTTGTTTTTGAAACAGTGTGTACCAATCTTTCGTCCCTTTTTTAAAGAGCTTGAAAGAATCTTATGGTCTAGTAATTAATCTTCAAAAATATTGACAACATCTCAAGACCTGTGCTGTTTTTTTTTTTTTGAAAGAATTTGAAAGAATCTTGGGGTACCCTAATATTTTTAAAGACTGTAAAAATATTAGGACTCCCTATTGTTTCATTTTTAATAATGATAAATAATCTTGGAGTCTACTAGTGTATTTTTTTTTCAATTTCAAAAAATCCTGGAAGATTCTAGTGCTTTATTTTTGAAAGAATTTGAAAGAATCTTGGGGACTCCAGTGTCTTGAAAAAAAAAATTAAAGAATCTTCGAAATCTCTGGGGTTTTGTTTTCGAAAATAATTTCTAAGATTCTTGGTCTTTTTTTCTGAAAGAGTTTTGAAAAATCTCAGGGCGCCTTTATGTGTTTTTTTAGCATGTAAAAGACTCTTGAGGTTTCTAGTCTTTTAGTTTTGTTTTTTTTTTAATCTAAAAGTCAGCAGTGTTTTATTTTTTAAAGTGTTGGAGGTCTTTAGAATCTTATTTTTTATCTAAAAGTGTCAAACAATTTTGGAGACTTTCAGTCTCGTTTGTTAAAGAGTTTGAAAGAACCTTGGAGGACCATAATTATTTTTACAGAGTCTGTAAGGATCAGAGCACTCTTTAGTGTTTTATTTTTAATAATGATAAAGAATCTTGGAGGCTTGTGTATATTTTTTTCAATTTGAGAAAATCCTCGAAGATTCTAGTGCTGTGTTTTTGAAAGTGTTTGAAAGAACCTAGGGGACTCCAGTGTCTTAAAAAAAAATATGAAAGAATCTTCCAAGTCTCCGGGGTTTTGTTTTCGAAAATAATTTCCAAGAATCTTGGTCTTTTTTCTGAAAGAATTTTGAAAAACCTTAGGGCGCCTTTATTTTTTTAAGTATGTGAAAGACTCTTGAGGTTTCTAGTGTTTTAGTTTTGATTTTTTGTTAAATCTAGAAGTCCCTAGTGTTTATTTTTTAAAGTGTTGGAGGTCCCTAAAATCTTTTTTTTTTATTTCAAAGAATCTTCGAGATCCTTGGTGTTTTGTTTTTGAAACCATGTCAAAAATCTTCGAGACTCTTAGTCTCGTTTATTAAAGAGTTTGAAAGAATCTTAAGAACCTCTAATGAGCCTTTTTTAAAGATTGGAAGAGAGTCTTAATTAGTTTCTAATAATAATTTTTGAACAAAATTGAAAAAACCTCATTTCCTCTTTAGAACACCTTAATTATTTTTAAAGAGTCTGTAGTTTAGGACTCTCTACTGTTTTATTTTTAATAATGATTAAGAATCTTGGAGGCATCTAATGTATTTTTTTTTCAGTTTGAAAAATTCCTCGAAGCTTCTAGTGCTTTGTTTTTGAAATAGTTTGAAAGAACCTTAGGGCTCCAGTGTCTTAAAAAAAATACGAAAAAATCTGCGAAGTCTCTGGGGTTTTATTTTCGAAAATAAATTCTAAGAATTTTTTTCTGAAAGAGTTTTGAAAAATCTTAGGACACCTTTACGTCTTTTTAAAGCTTGTGAAAGACTTTTTTTTTAATCTATAAATCCCCAATGTTTTATTTTTAAAGTGTTGGAGGTCCCTAAACTCTTTTTTTTTATTTCAAAGAATCTTGGATATCTTTGGTGTTTTGTTTTTGAAACTATGTCAAACAATCTTGGAGAGTTTTAGTCTGGTTTGTTACGAGTTTGAAAGAATCTTAAGAACGTCTAATCTCCCTTTTTTACAGATTGTAAGAGAGTCTTAGCTAGGTTCTAATAATAATTTTTTAACAAAAGTGAAGAAACCTCATGCCCCCTGGTGATTTTATAAGAGTTTCAAAGAATCTTGGAAGACCATATTTTTTTAAGAGTCTTAGAACTCTCTAGTGTTTTATTTTAGAAAGGGTTTGAAAGGGCCTTGGAGATTCCAAAAATATATATGAAAGAATATTCGAAGCGTTTGGGGTTTAAAAGGTCTGTAAGAATCTTAGAATTCCCTAGTGTTTTATATTTAATAATGATGAAGTATCTTGGAAGCTTCCAGTTACTTCTTTTAAATTTGAGAAAATTCTCGAAGCTCCTAGTGCTTTGTTTTTGAAAGGATTTGAAATAGTTTTGGAGACTCCAGTGCCTTTAAAAAAATATGAAGGAATCTTCGAAGTCTCTTGGTCTTTTTTTCTGAAAGAAAAATGGCACTTTTAGCGTCTTTTTAAACCATGTGAATGAATCTTGGAACTATTAGTGTTTTAGTTTGTAATTTTTTTAAATCTAAAGGCCCTACAGTTTTATTTTTGAAAGATTTCATTGAAAGAAACTTGGGAGATCCTAGAATTTGTTTTAATGTGAAAGAATATTAGAGCTCCTTGTTGTTTTGTTTTTAAAAAAGTGTCAAACAATCTTGGGGACTTTGGTCTCTTTTTTAAAGAATCTGAACGAGTCTTGGTTGGGTTCTAGTAATTAAATTATGAAAAAATGAAAAATTGTCTGTTTTTGAAAGAATTTGAAACAATCTTATGGCTATATTTTTTTAAGATGAAAGAATCTTGGAGATCCCTAGTGTTTTGTTTTTGAAAGAGTGTCGAACAATTTTGGAAAGTTTTAGTCCTTTTTTTAAGTTTGAAGTAATCTCAGAGATAGAGTTTTGAAGAATTTTAGAGGCCCTCTATGTCTACTTTTTCAAAATCTGGCAATGAATCTTGAAAGCTCTGAGTGTCTTTTTTTAAAGACTGTGCAAGAATCGTCGGGTCTCCTGGGTTCTGTTTCTGAATACGTTTGAAAAGATAAAGGCAACTCCTAGTTTCGTTTCTACTTCAAACAACGTGAAAGAATCTTCAGGTGTTTTGTTTTTGAAAGAATTTGAAAAGATCTCCTGATAGTTTATCCACTTAATTCAAAGTTGACTAATGATTTTAACACTATATTTCGCATATCAGTCTTATGGAATTTGATAACTGAAATATCAAAGATTTACTTCATTCTAACTAGGATCAAATTAAATCAATTAGGTACATATATTATCTTATCAGTTATCACCAATAGTTAAGAGCATACTGACAATAAACTACAGTTTCTCGCATTTCCAACCTTCGTAATAATACCACACCATTGAGCATAGCACAAAATTCGCGTTATGTTTACCCACCATTTGCCAAATCTTCTCAACTGTCTTAAATTTCGTCCAGAATTTCTCCAAGTTCCCACTTTATATTCAGCTCGTAACAAAAATTCCGTGATGAACACATCCCCACGATTTTTAACAAACTCTAATAACGTGAATACAAGCGACTCGAATTTTGATATTGTCCTTCCACAACTTCAAAGGCCTCATTTTTCCCCCAACAGTAATATTCGAAGTCTGCAATCGCTTCGACTCGCTTGTATCACATCATATCGCTTTCTCCGCCCCATTGATTCACAATTTATTTAAAGCAGCAAGACGCAAAATAAGCACCGTCGTAGGGGGCGACTTGGAACCGACGACACCTTTCTGAGATAAAATTCCCTAGCGTAATGCGCACATTCAGATAAATAAACACCTCCACACAATCGTAGTTTTTTAGTTTTGTCAAAACCGCCTCGAATCGCCCCTGGCGACGGTAAACCGCCAGGTGCATCAGCTCTCGGCCATTGTTTCCCCCAAGCTCCTACAAACGACTGAATTTTATCATCGTCAGTTCCATTAAACTTATCCCAGAAATATCCGAAAACGTGTAAACATCTTACCGGCTGACAAACGTGCAATTTCGAGAACAAATCACAGTTTGTTTATGACAGCTCCATGAAAAGTCTGGCGAGTCCGGCTATTTATTTTTCTTGATTTAGCGAATTACGTACACATAATAAAAAGACGCGAAAAATTCAGGGCCGGTGCAGCAGGTGAGCTCTGGAGATGGCCTTGTCCACGTGCCGGGAAAGCGATTTCTTTCAATCGGGATTTTCACCTCGCCGGGTAATTACGCGAGTTTGAAACTTCGTTCCAGGAATGATACTCGGGTGTGTATAAAAATTTATTGCACGAATCAACAAGTCGAAAGTATAAATGAAGCATGGGGTTTATTTGAGAGGTTCAAGGTCTTGGAGTTCATTTTTCGTACAGGCTATTTTCCGCTGGAAGAAGCCAAAGGTCAATATGATTTGGGAGGCGTTAATGTCGTGTGTTTTCAGAACAATAGCTTGACACAGGTTTGTTTTTCTCGGTGGAACTGTGTTGATGGCGCTTGTACGCGGATACCTGATATGGAGGAAAAATACAGGGAGATAAAGTGTGGCATTCGTGTGGGTTCCACAATTAGCATTTATTTTTATTACCGGAATTACAGTGTGAATGTGGCATTAAATTTAAATATTCGAGTTTGTTTATGTCTGTGAAGCAATTTTGTAAATTTGTTCTCCATTTTGATAATGCTACGCTTGGACGTCATGTGACAGCAAGCGTAATTTTCTGTGTAAGCGTATGGTAGAACCGAAAAATTATTATTATTATTATTACTAATGAAAAATTAAGTTTCTAAGAATTGTCTCTTCCACACTCTTTGCCTGAATCAAAAATAATCTGAAAACACACAGTGTCTTTAATCCTTTAATGAACAGCGTCGCCTCTCAAATAAATAACAATAAGTCATAAATTAAAACCTATATCTAGAACATATCTAGAACTACCTATGTACAATGGCACTTGGGCGTAGCACTTAGCACGTCTTTACGCGTCAACGCAAGGCTGCGACTCGAAAAACACCATCTCGGCCAATATGGCCAAAATAATACACAGTGAGTACACTGAAAGAAGAATAATCCCTACGCGTCTACACAGCTTGAACTTGTTAAAGAAGAGAGTAAGGTATAGAGTGATGGCCACCGGAACTAGCGCCGATATGGTGTACTCTATGGAGCCCGAGTTGATCCTTATGAAGGAACTGTCTCCGGTTCCCATGACTATGGTCTTGAGGAACCACGGCATGCCTAAGGATAGGAGGATGTTCATGGTGTTGGCTCCCAAGGAATTTGATACGCCCATCGAGCCTTCGCCTGGAACACAATAACCGGGAAATTAGGTTTAGCCGGTTTTAAAAAATGTATATTGTGGAATAAATTTCACTAAAATTTGACAAAAACGCGAAATGAGGAAGTTTATTTTTGTACGGAGTGTATTCCGGGCGAAAATTTCAATTTCTGGCTGATGAATTAAAAAAAAAATCAAAATTATATAATAAAATTTGGCGATTTAACTTTGAAACTACGAAACCGAATTCTCTGAAACGTTGCAAATGTTTTAATCAAAATGTATACGTTCAAGTCCCCCCAGAAGTCGATGATGTTATCTTACAGTTTTGTTGAATAAATGTTTATTAAAGGTTAAAGTCACATAATCCTGAAGTTGCGGTTTATGAGTCCGTTATGTCCATAGATAAAAATTTTTCGATTTCTCAATATCTTTCGAATTTTCGACTTTTCGGCTTTTCGATTTGTCAACTATTGATGTCCCAACTTTTCGATTTTTGAATTTTTCGGTTTTTCAACTTTTACACTTCTCAGTTCTAAATTTTTCGATATTTCACTTTTAGGATTTTTCAATCCGATTCTTCAAATTACCGATTCTTCAAATTTTCCAAATTTTCAGTTCTTCGATTTCTCAATTTCTGGATAAATTGATTATTATAATTTTCCCATTTCTAGATTTCTCGACTTCTCAATGTTTCGATTTTTCAGTTTTTCAGTTCTTCAATTTCTCGATTTTTCGACTTTCGATTTCCCAATTTTTCAATTTTTTCATGTTTTAGTTTAGGAATATTTTAATTTTTCGATTCTTAAATTTTCCATCAATTTTTTAATTTTAGATTTTTCAGTTTCACGATCTTTTGGTTTCTCGGTTTTCAGTTTTTCGATATTTCACTATTAGGATTTTTCAGTTTTTCCCTTCTTCAATTTCTCGATTCATCAAATTTTCGAATTCTCGATTTCTTCATCTTTCAATTCCTCAATTTTTCCAAGTTTCATTTTTGCGATTTTTCTTTTCTTCAACTGTTCAGTTATCGATTTTTGATTTTCTCATTTATCGCTTTTCCGGCTTTTCAGTGTTTCGATTTTTCAATTTTAATTGCAATTCTTCAATTTTCCACATTTTCAGTTTTGTGATTTTCAAAGTTTAACTTTACAATTTTTCAAATTTTCGGCTTTTGGATTTCTCAAATTTTTAATTTTTCGATTCTTAAATTTTTCTTTCGTTTTTTAATTTTTGGATATTTCAGTTTCGAGATTTTGCAATATTTTGATTTTTCAATTTTTCGTATTTTTTATTTTTATTTGTATATTTTTAAGTTGTTTTGATATTTCGGTTTCTCAATCTTTCAATTTTTGGTTTCCTCGGTTTTAAATTTTTCGGTTTTTCAATTTTTTAATTTTTAAAATTGTTTATTTTTCGATTGTTCAATTTCCCGGATTTTATATTTTTTTTTATTTTTTACTATTTTTATTTCTTGATTTATTGAGATTTTGAGGTTTCGATTTTTCGATTTTTCAATTTTTTTATTTATGGGGTCTTTTTAAATGTAAACGTTTCAATTTTTCAGTTGTTAATTATTCGTTTTTTCGATTTTGGCCTTTTTCTATTTTTCAATTTTTCGATGCTTCGATTTCTCAACGTTTCCATTTCTCGATTTCTCCATCTTTTGATGTTTCGATTTTTCAATTTTTCGATGTTTCAGGTTTGCGATTTTTCGAATTTTTGGTTTTTCGACTCTTCAGTTTTTCACTTTGTAAATTTTTCAATTCTTCAATTTTTCAATTTCTAGATTAACTGAATTTTGATTTCCTATTTATCCAGTTTCTGGATTTTTCAAAGTTCCGATTTTTCAGTGTTTCAATTCTTTAATTTTTCGCTTTTTCAAATTTTCGATTTTTAGATTTCTCAACGTTTCATTTCTCGATTTCTCCATCTTTTGATGTATCGACTTCTCAATTTCTCGATGTTTCAGGTTTGCGATTTTTCGAATTTTTGGTTTTTCGACTCTTCAGTGTTTCGATTTGTAAATTTTTCAATTCGTCAATTTTTCAATTTCTGGGTTAACTGAATTTTGATTTCCTATTTCTCGGTTTCTTGATTTTTCAAAGTTCCGATGTTTCAGTGTTTCAATTCTTTAATTTTTCGATTTTCAAGTTTTAATTGTTCAATTTTCCTACTTTCCGATTACTCAATTTTTCAATTTTTCGTATTTTTTATTTTTAAATTTTTCAGTCTTCTTATTGTTTCGATTTCTCGATCTTTCAATTTTTCGATTTCTCGGTTTTAGAATCTTCGGTTTTTCTATTTTTTAATTTTTTATTTTTTTATTTTTTTATTGTTTAGTTTTTCGGTTTTTAAATTTTTTGATTTTTCAATTTTTCTATTGCTCTATTTATTGAGATTTTGATGTTTTGATTTTTTATTTTGGCCTATTTTAATTTTTCAATTTTTGGGTTTTTCGACTTCTCGACGTTTTCATTTCTCTTTTGATATTTCGATTTCTCCATGTTTCAATTTTTGACTCTTCGGCTTTTCAATTTTCCAAATTTTCCACGTTTCGATTTTTCAATTATACGATTTCTCAGTTTTTCTTCACTTCAGTTTTGGAATTTTCAATTACCTACTAATTTTTTCAGATTTTCCATTTTTCAAATTTCCAATTTTTCAACTTTTGCAATTTTTAAATTTTGGATTTCGACTTCTCGATTTCTCAGTTTTTCGATTTTTCGATTTTTTTTTTTATTTATAAAGTTTAGATTTTCTTGGTGTTTCGATTTCTCGAGTTTTCAGTTATTCCATTCTTTGGTCTTTTTATATTTTAATTTTCCAATTTTTCAAATTTGAAATTTTTTGTTTTTCGATTTTTCGAATTTTTAACAATTTGATTTTTCAACTTTTCAATTTTTTATATTTAACATTTTTCGATTCTTCTAACATTCGATTTCTGGATTTCTTCATGTTTTGATTCCTCAATTTTTCGATGCTTCAATTTTGCGATTTTCCAATCTTTCGACTCTCCAGTTTTTCGATTTCTAAATTTTTCAATTTTTAAGTTTTTCAATTTCTGACATTTTTAATTTTCAATTTTTTGTTTTCTTAATTTCTGGATTAAGTAATTTTTGATTTTCCCATTTTTCGGTTTCCCGACTTTAAAATGTTTCGATTTTTCAGTTTTAATTTCAATTCTTCAATTTTTCACATTTTTGGTTTTTCGATTTTCAAGGTTTAATTTTTCAAATTTTTGGGCTTTTGGATTTCTCAAATTTTCGATTTTTCGATGTTTTAGTTTTGGGAATTTCCAATTTTTCGATCCTTAAATTTTTTTTTCGTTTTTCAAGTTTTCGGTTTTTCAATTTTTTGATTTTTTAATTTTTCGATTTGTCGAGTTCTCGACGTTTCCATTTCTCGATTTCTTCATCATTTGATGTTCCGATTTTTCGATGATTTAATTTTTGAACATTTCGACTATTCGGTTTTTCAATTTTTAAATTTTTCGAAGTTTCGAATTTTCAATTATCCGATTTCCCAGGATTTTCGTATTTCAGTTTTGGAATTTTCACTTACTTGATTATTCAGTTTTTCGATTCTTCAATTTTATAATTTTTCCAATTTTTCGATTTTTAAATTTTGGAATTTTGACTTCTTGATTTCTCGGTTTTCCATTTTTGGAAAAAAAAAATTATTTTTATTTTAGATTTTCTTGGTGTTTCGATTTCTCGATTTTTTTACATTCTTTAATTTTTCTATATTTTAATTTTCCAATTTTTTTAATTTGAGTTTTCTGTTTTCCAATTTTTGAATTTTTAACTTTTTGATTATTCAACTTTTCGACTTTTTATATTTAAGATTTTTCGATTCTTCAAATATTTGAGTTCTCGAGTTCTTCATGTTTTCGATTTCTCAATTTTTGGATTAATTGATTTTTGTTTTTCCCATTTCTCGGTTTCTCGATTTTTCAATGTTCGAATTTTCAATTTTTCAAGTTTTTGCATTTTCACTTTTTCGATTTCCAAGGTTTAATTTTTCAATTTCCCAATTTTTCGGCTTTTGGATTTCTCAAATTTTCAGTTTTTCGATATTTTAATTTTCCGATTCTTACTTTTTTTTTTCGTTTATCAATTATTTTATATTTCAGTTTCAGGGTTCTGCAATATTTCGATTTTTCAATTTTTCGATTTTTAAATTTGTAGATTTTTAAATTTTTCGATTTCTCCATCTTTTGATGTTTCGATTTTTCGATTTTTTAATTTTTGAACATTTTGTTGTTTCAATTATTCAACTATTCGATTTTTCAATTTTCCAATTTTTAGAAGTTTCGATTTTTTAATTATTTGATTTCCCAGTTTTTTCATCACTTCAGTTTTGGAATTTTCACTTACTCGATTTTTCAGTTTTTAGATTCTTCAATGTTATGATCATTTCAACTTTCGATTTATAAATTTTGGATTTTTGACTTCTCGATTTCCCCTTTTCAAGTTTTTGATTTTTAAATTTTAGAATTTTTTGGTGCTTCGAATTCTCGATCTGTCAGTTTTTCCATTCTTTAATTTTTTTATATTTTAATTTTACAATTTATTAATTTTAGTTTTTCTATTTTCTGATTTCTCTAATTTTTAACTTTTTGATTTTTCAACTTTTCGATTTTTCATATTTAACATTTTTCGATTCTTAAAATTTTCGATTTTTCGATTTTTTTATGCTTCGATTCTTCACTTTTTCGATGTTTCAGTTTTGCGACTTTTCAATCATCTTTAAATTTTCCAATTTCCTAGTTTTTCAATTTTTGACATCGTTAAATTTTCAATGTTTTGATTTCTCAATTAATTGATTTTTGCTTTTCCATTTCTCGGTTGTCAACTTTTCAATGTTTCCATTTTTCAGTTTTAATTTCAATTCTTGAATTTATGGCATTTTCAGTTTTTCGATTTTCGAAGTTTAATTTTTATATTTCTCTACGTCAGGATTTCTCAAATTTTTCGATGTTTTTGTTTTGGGAATTTTCAATTTTTCCATCCTAAATTTTTCTTTCGTTTTTCAATTTTTCGAATTTTGTTATTTTTAAATTTTCCAGTTTTATGATGTCCCGAATTCTTGATCTTTCAATTTTTCGATTTCTCGGTTTTAGATTTTTCGGTTATTCAATTTTTCGGTTTAAAAATTTTTTTTTTTTCAATTTTCCGAGTTCTCAACGTTTCCATTTTTCGATTTTTCCATCTTTCGAAGTTTCGATTTTTCAATTATTTGAGTTCTCAACTTTTTGTCACTTCAGTTTTGGAATTTTTCAATTTCTCGGTTTCTCGATTATTCAATATTTTGATTTTTCAATTTTAATTTCAATTCTTCAATTTTTCGCATTTTCAATTTTTTCTATTTTTCAATTTTTCGATTCTTAAATTTGTCTTTCGTTTTTCAATTTTTCACTTTTAGAATTTTGCAATATTTTGATTTTTCAATTTTTTTAATTTTTTATTTTTAAATTTTTGTGATGTTTCGATTTCTCAATCCTTCAATTTTTCGATTTCTCGCTTTTTGAATTTATGTCGATTTTCCAACTTTTGCTATTTTTATATTTTGGATTTTCGACTTCTCGATTTCTCGGTTTTTCGATTTTTGACTTTTCCATTTTTTATATTTAACATTTTTCGATTTTCCAATTCTTCGATTTCTGGGTTTTTCAACTTTTTGATTTCTCAATTTTTCAACATTTCGATTTTTTGATGTTTCGATTGCTCGATCTTTCGATTTTTCGACTTTTCAGATTTCGATTTTTCCATGTTTCAATTTTTCGATTTTTCGTTTTTTTTTTTTTTTGGATTAGCTTCATGTTTATTTTACCAACCTGCAGTTACTGAAATACTGAAAAAAATCCAAAATTGTTCCTAGAACTTCACTCTGGTAAACCTAAATTAACCCGTTTGATTTTTTTTCTAATAAAAAAATACACAACTGGATCACAATTACAAAATTCCAGAAAATTCCAAAATCTGAGTCTAGTCTAATTTTCTTCAACTTTTTAACAGTCTTTTAATTTTGACAGCTTTACGTACGACTTAAGAGATTTTTTCAAAATTTTTTAATTACCTCTACGTGACATGATGGTAATAGAAATGGCTTCCGGGAGACACCCTCCGGCTGCCAGGAACGTCAACCCCAGCACAGCGTCCGGGATTTTGAACATATTGCCTGTAATAAATAACATGGAGGATGCAATAAAACTATTTATAGCCTGAACTGATAAATACCTATGATGGCGATCATCCAGGACACCACATAGGAGTTTGAACCGATCCAGAAAATGCACATAATGAAGGTAACCGGGAACAGTTTAGGGTAGCGCTGTGGGTCGGGCACCGTACAAAACAGAAGAAATTTAGCCGGCCAGGTATAGACAAACAGGATGCGCTTCCAAATCGAACCCTTGGGTTTCCGGAAAATCGATATTTCCTCTGGAAAAATCGTGATTTATTTTAGTCGAAATTCTAAGTAAATTGTTATCAAATAAACCGGATAAAACAGCACCGATGTCTATCTTATCTCGCCATCGCTAATCATAAATACCTAAAATTCTTATCACTCACCTTCATCCTGGCTCTCGCTGAAGCTCTTCGTCTCCGTATACTTCGTAATGGGTTCCTCCACGTAAGACCCGTAGGAAGAAATCACAGCTACAGTAGTCGTAGGCGTAGTCGTAGCAGTCGTAGACCCTTTCTCACAATCGTCGACTTTGTTAACCTTCCTAACCTTCTTTACAAACTTATGCACTAACTTCGAAATCCTGGCATTTTGGAACATCACAGTAAAATACACGAAATACACGATGAACAAAACTAGACCCTCGTACCAATAAATCACCCCATCCCACGTGATCCCCACCAGTAGCAGCACGGAGAAGATGTAGATGATGACGTCTCTTGTTACCGGCCACCAGTGCAGCTGCACAGGCTACAAAAATTTTCAAAAATCATTTTTTGATTAAATTTGGACGTCGTCTACGTACAGCGGACGCCGCTAGGCCCCCGAGCGACGCCACCCCCAGCGTGTTGAAGAGGGACGAGCCGACGACGGTGCCGATGCCGATGTCGGATTGCGTTATGAATGTCCCAATTATGTTGACGAATAGTTCAGGTGCTGATGTTGCGACGGACATGAAGGTGGCGGCGGCGACGTCCTGCAAGGATTAATGGAGGTAATAAGTAATGAGGCGGCGGCGATGTTGCAGTCGGGTGTTGGGGTGCAGTTCGGTAATTGCAAGATAAGGATGATAGAGCGAAATCGGTTTTGCATACAATGGGAGAATAGTAACGATGGTTGAAAGTCCTAGATAAGCGAAATGAGCGATAAGGATTCAAAAATCAACATCGATTGATAACGGTTGCAATTGTTCTCAAGGCGGAAATACCTATCTTAGATTGTTTTTTTTACTTGGAATTAGTGGAGTGATATTTATTTTATTGTCAAAATTTTATTTAACGATGGATGTATTTTTTTTTAATAGTAAAGTAAACTCAAAAAACTACCGATATTGGAAGTAGTACCAACTAGAGTACCTTGATAAATACGAGTGTGGACACGAAATGACAGTCCGTCTATTTCCTTTTTAATAATATTTGTGTAAAAAGAACCTTCTTGTCGGATTTGTTTCATATTTACTATGTAGCTGTAAATATGTTGTTGTTAGATTTAGTGTTTAGCGCATTTAAGCTCATTAAAGGAAAGTGTTGACATTTTTATTACAAAATTATTTACAGAAATCATTTTCAAATTCAAATATCGGGAGTCTCCCAGAAGTCAATCTAAAACGGCGCATGTTTCTTTCTTTTTTTTTCATTTTTTAATAAAATATCGCCGTAAAAGCGCGTTTTGTGTGAGACGACAAAATTGTCTACTTTCCAATGACTTATTTTATTTAATGTGAGATGAGTATTGAATTCTACTTTAGTAAGTGGTTCAACCTAATTTAAAAAAACTTCAAAGTGGCCCCGCCCACCCACCCGGTTTATTCCTGATCACTCATCCCTACCTCTACTTTTGAATTTCGTTGGCTTATTTTATTTACTCTGAGATGAAAATTGAATTTTATTTCGTCAAATTGTCGAATCTTTTTGGATCTTTTGATGTTTCGATTTATTGATGTTTCACTTTTTCAATTTTTCGATATTTCAATTCTTCGAGTTTTCGGTTTTCAATTTTTGCAATTTCCCAATTTTCTGTCATTGCTGCTTAGGAATTTTTCAATTTCTTGATTTTTCAGACTTTCGATTCTTCAATTTATCGATTTTTTTAATTTTTAAATTTTTGGATGTTTTCGTTTTTCACTTCTTCGGTATTTCTATGTATCAATTTTTAGATTTTTTAAATTTCTGATTTTTCAATGTTTCAACATTTAATTTTTGGAAATTTTTACATTTCTGGATTTTTTAATTATTCGATTTCTCATTTTTCCAATGTTCCACATTTTTCAATTTTTCAATTTTTGAAGTTTCTAAATTTTCGACTTCTCGGTTTCTCAATGTTTCGGATTCTCGATCTTTCAGTTTTTTCAAGTTTTTGGCTTTTCAATTTACGGTTTTTCGATTTCGATTTTTCAGTTTCTCGATTTTCAATTTTTCGATTTTTTGATTTATCGACTTTTAGATTTTTCGACTTAGTGATTTCCCTATTTTGGAATTGATCAGGTTTTGATTTTCCAATTTTTCCTGTGTTTAAATTTTTGATTTTTTTTGTTTCTCAATGTTTCGTTTTTCGATGTTTCAGTTTTGAGATTTTTCACTGTTTTAGTTCTTCAATTTCCATTATTTTTGAATTTTTCGAATTTTTAAACTTTACATTTTTGATATTTCGACTTCTCGGTTTTAGATTTTTCGGTTTTTAAATTTTTCAATTGTTCAATTTCTCGATTTTTTTATTTTTCAATTTGTTGATTTTTTTAATTCAAAATTTTTCAATTTTCCGTTTTTTTTATTTTCAAACGTTTCAATTTTTGTCTTTTCGATTTCTCGATCTTTTGATGTTTCTTTCGATTTATCGATATTTTAGTTTTGCAATTTTTCGATGTTTCGATTTTTAGATTCCTCGCTCAATTTTGCAACGTTTCAGTTTTGAGAATTTTTCAATTATTCGATTTTTTAATGTTTCAATTGCTCGATTTTTCGACTTTTCGGTTTTTCAATTTTTGCGATTTCCCAATTTTCCGTCATTGCTGTTTTGGCATTTTTTAATTTTTGTGATTTCCCAATTTTGGAATTTTTTAGTTTCTTCATTTTTCAGGCTTTTGGTTCTTCAGTTTTTTGAGTTTTTAAATTGAAAATTTTTCGATTTTTCAATTTTTCACTATTTCTGTTTTTCACTTCTTCGATATTTCAGTGTTTCAATTTTTTGATTTTTTAAATTCAATTTTTCAATTTTTTTGATTTTTAAAATTTTTGGATTTTTAGATTTTTCGCTCAATTTTTTAACATCTCAATTTTGGGAATTCTTCAATTTCTGGATTTTCCAATTCTCCGATTTTTTAATGTTTTAATTGGTAGATTTTTCGACTTTTCGAATTTTGACTTTTCTGATTTTGAATTTTAGCGATTTCCCCATTTTCCTCCGTCATTGCTGTTTTGGAATTTTTCAATTTCTTAACTTTTCAGGCTTGCGATTATTCAATTTTTCGATTTTTTTTTAAATTTCAAACTCTTTGATTTCACAATTTTTCGATATTTCTGCTTTTCACGTCTTCGATATTTCTTGTTTTTTAATTTTGGATTTTTTAAATTTCTGATTTTTCAATTTTTCGATTTTACGATTTTTTCAGCTGTTTTAATTCCCCGACCTCTCGGTTTTTCGATTTTTAAAATTTTTCGATGTTTCTATATTTTGACCTTTCAGTTTTTCAATTTTTGCAATTTTCCAATTTTCCGTCATTTTGGAATTTTTGAATTTCTTAATTTTTTTCTCATTGGATTCTTCAATTTTTCGATTTTTTAAATTTAAAATTTCTCGATTTTTCAATTTTTCCATATTTCTGTTTTTCATTTTTTCGATCATCCTATTTTCCAATTTTTCGATTTTTTAAATATCTGATTTTTCAATTTTACGATTTTTGAGGGTTTTAATTTCTTGATCTCTCGGTTTTTCGAAATTCAAAATTTTTCGATTTTTAGATTTCTCGCCCAATTTTTCAACTTTTCAATTTCGAAAATTTTTCAATTATTCGATTTTTTAATATTTCAATTGCTCGATTTTTCGACTCTTCGGTTTTTCAGTTTTTCCGATTTCCCAATTTTCCGTCATTTACTCTTTTTCAATGTCTTGATTTTTCAGGCTTTCGATTCTTCAATTTGTCGATTTTTCAAATTTAAAATTTTTCCCTTTTTCATTTTTTCGATTTATCGATTTTTCAATTTAAAATTTCTCAATTTTTTTTTATTATTATTAAATGATTTTACTGATGTTTCAGATTTCAATTTTTCGATGTTTTTATTTTTCGACTTTTGAGTCTCTCAGTTTTTGCGATTTCCCAATTTTCCGTCATTACTGCTTTGGAATTTTTCAATTTCTTGAATTTCGATTCTTCATTCATTCGATTTTTTAAATTTGAAATCTTTCGATTTTTCAATTTTTCGATATTTCTATTTTTCAATTCTTCGATCTTTCGATTTTTTAAATTTGATTTTTCAATTTTTCGATTTTACGATTTTTTGGTGTTTTAATTTCATGGCCTTTCAAGGTGTTTCGATTTTTAAAATTTTTCGATTTTTAGATTTCTAGCTCAATTTTTAACATTTCAATTTTGAGAATTTTTCAATTTCTGGATTTCTCAATTTAGAGTTCTGGGTTTTAGATTTTTCGTTTTTTCAATGTTTCGATTTCTCGATTTATCAAGATTCCGATATTTTGATTTTTGGATTGTTGATTTTCTCGATTTTTCAATTTTTCAATTCATCGATTTTTTTTATTAAAAATGTTTCAATTTTTCGTTTTTTTTTTTATTATCAAATGTGTGTTAATTTTTTGCTTTCCGATTTCTTCATCTTTTAATGTTTCGATTTAGAGGTGCGATTTCCCAATTTTCCGTCTATGCTGTGTTGGAATTTTTAAATTTCTTGATTGTTCAGGCTTTCGATGTTTTCAATTGTTCGAATTTTTAAATTTAACATTTTTGGATTTTTTAAAATTCTGAATTTTTTATTTTACGATTTTTTGGTGTTTTAATTTTTTGACTTCTTGATTTTTGTGTATTTTTATTTATTTATTATAACCTTGTCCTGTTATTGGGTTTAAGTTCGTTGGGCACTGTATTGAAATAAATAAATAAAAAAATAAATAATAAATACATTTTTTGATTTTTAAAATTTTTCAATTTTTTAGATTTCTGGCTCAATTTTTCAACATTTCAGTTTTCGGAATTTTTCAATTATTCGACATTCTAATTATTATTGCGGTTGTCACATCAATAAAGGTATTTGATATTTGATTTGATTCGAGTTTTTGATGTTTCAATTGCTCGATTTTTCGACTTTTTGACTTTTGATTTTTCGGTTTTTCAATTTTTCGATTTTCAAAATTTTTTTTTTTTCGATTTTTTCCAATTTGTTGCGTGAAAAAATCTTGGGATCCCTTCCCTTGTTTTTGAAATAATTTGAAAGAATTTTGGAGATCCCTTGTCTTGTTTTTGAAGTAATTTGAAAGAATTTCGGAGTCCCTTGTGTCTTATTTCTGGACTAACTTGAAAGAAGAAACGAAGCTCTTTTTTGTGCTGTTTTTGAAGTAGTTTGAAAGAATTTTGGTAATTCCTTATCTTATTTCTGAAGTTATTTGAAAAAACTCTCGAAGATCTCTTGTGTTTCGTTATTGAAGTAGTTTGCAAGAACCTCGGGGATCCTTTTTGCTTTGTTTTTGAAGTAGTTTGGATTCCCTTATCTTGTTTTTGAAGTAATTAGGCTGGCAAAAAATGTAGCTAGTAGACAATAGCAAGCGTTTTATTTTTATCAAGATTGTGTATTCTTTCATGGGCACTTAAACGTCTTTATTTTTTAAAATTCATATCTAAAAATTCGCCAGTCTTAGAAGTTCATAGGTACAAATTCTGTACTCAAAACATATTAATCAAAACGGAAAGCGTAATTATGAAATCAATTTTATTAGATAAGATACACTCCTTATCACAGAGTACGTGATAAT